GGCCCTTAGCTCTGTTTGAGTGGAAACAAATGTTCCAGAAATATATCAGTTTCTCTGCTCTTGGGCGAGTTTATTTTCCCATTTAGTTTCTCAGGGAAAGTTCTTTTGGAAAAACTCCAGCCTCCATCTTGGCTGAACCAGGAACAGAATTTATATTCACAGGAAGAGCACTGGTTTACCGTTAGACAGATCTGGGGCTCTGTCTCCTGCTGTGTGACTTTGGGCAAGTCACTCAACCTCTCTGAGCCTCAGCTAGCTCATCTGTAAAATGGAAAAATTGTCATTTCAGCTCTATAGGGTAACTGGGAGGTTGAAACGTAGAAAATAATTTCTGTAAAGACTTTTGCACAGTACATGGCATTCAGCCAATGAAAGCCTCATTTTCACTTGCCCTCTTTGGCAGCGATGCTCTGGAGAGGGGTCTGAACTGGAGGGTTGCTCTGTATCTTCCTGTTCCCTTCTCTCTGGTCTCTGGGGCTGCTGGGTGTTGTACAGCTCCCCCAAGCCCAGGCCCTGGCAGGGCCCAGAGAGGGAAAGGCCCTGTACCACGTCACACAGTAGGTCAATAGCAATGCAGGGCCTGGACACAGGACTCCTGCCTTCCCACTCGAAGGCCCCAGATGATGCTAATTCAAATTCTGGCTCAGACTTTGATTGGTGTGTGTCCTTGAGTGAGTGATTTAACCTCTTTGAGCCTCGGTTTTCTTGTCTGCAAAGTAGGGTAATAATAGCACCAGCCTTTAAGAGCTGTTGCAGGAATTAAATAAAACAAGAGACTGTGGAGCTGTGAGGGGTGGGCGATCCTTAGGGAAGAAGAGAGGATGAAAATGAATGGTGGGCTTGGCCCAGCTCGGCTGGGTCTCTCCTTCCCCGACTCCCTCTTCCCTCAACACCCAATTCCGCAGCCCTGTCTGGGAGGGGCAGGCTCTCGCCCAGCGCCTACTCAGTGCTTTCCACATCCCACCTCAATTCTCATTTCATCCTCAAAAGAACCCTTGGAGGACAGTCTTTTCTCTCTCCCTCTTTTTTTTTTTTTTTTTTTTTTTGAGACAGGGTCTTGCTGTGTCGCCCAGGCTGTAGTGGAGTAGCTTGATTACCACTCACTGCAGCCTCGACCTCCTGGGCTCAAGCAGTCCTCCCACCTTAGCGTCCCGAGTAGCCAGGACAACAGGCATGCACCACTACACCCAACTAATTTTTTTTTTTTAAGACAGTGTCTCACTTTGTCCCTCAGGCTGCACTGCAGAGGCGCGATTTTGGCTCACTGCAGCCTTGACCTCCCAGGTTCAAGTGATCCTGCTGCCTCAGATGCCCAAGTAGCTGGAACTACAGGTGTGCCACCACCATGCCCAGCTAATTTTTGTATTTTTTGTAGACACGAGCTTTCACCATGTTGCCCCAGCTGGTTTTAAGCTCCTGGGCTTAAACGATCCTCCCGCCTTGGCCTCCGAAAGTGCTGGGATTATTTGCGTGCGCCACCTTGCTGTTTGGAGGAGGGATTCGTGTGATCCCCATTTCCCAGATAAGGAAACTGAGGCTGCAATGGGGGACGGGGAGAAGCCTGTTCTCTCTGCCTTGTGGAAGCTGCCTGTCTCCTGCCCCTGCCTGAGCTCCTGCCCTGAGGCCGACTCGCTGCCTCTCTTGGTCCTGTCTTTGCTGTGGCTCCTCTGCCTCCCTTCTGCTCTCTGGTCTCTCTGCTACCTGAGAGCCCATCGTGGGGAGGCTGCCCTCGACCCTGGCCCAGAATCATGAGTGGGTCCTTCCCCCATACCTGTTGCCCACTTAGCATGAGGCCCTGGAGCCGTGTGGTCACTTGGGTGGGAGGCCTGGCTGGCCAGAGCAGGCCCCAGCTCAGCTGCGTCTCCCTGGTAACCGTCATGAGCTGTATCTCCCCCTCTCTATCCTCCTCTTCCCTTCCTGCCCCTCCATGGCCTTCCAGCACTGGCTGTCACTGCCAAGCACAATACCAGGCCTGGGAAAACTGCAATCGGGAGGCCAGGCCCGCCCTGCTCCCTAGAGGGAGGGAGGCAGGGCCTCTGTTCCCATCGTCTGCCACCCCTCGCCCAGGTGGGGCAGGTGGCACTCTAGGAGTTCACTGCAGGGCGTCTGGTGCTTCCCAGCTGTGTCATCTTGGGTAACTTTGCTGCCTCGTCTTCTTTTCTTGGTAACAGCTTTACTGAGATGTCGTTCACATACCATAAAATTCACCTGCTTAAGGCGTTCAGTTCAGTTGTTTTTAGTACATTCACAGAATTGTGCAGCCATCACCACAGCCAATTATAGAACATTTTCATTCCCCAAAAAGAAACGTTCTACCCATTGGCAGCCCTCCCCCTCCCTCCTCCCCAGCCCTGGTGACCACCAGTCGACTCCCTGTCTATGAGGATTTGCCTCAGAGACAGAATCATGCCCTCTGTGTTTTTTCGGGACTGGCTTCTTCTCTGTGACCTTGCAAACATTCTAGCATAATGTGTGCAGGGTTCATCTAGGGTATAGCATGAATCAGTATTTCTTCTTTTCTTTTTCTTATGGCCAAGTGCTAGTCTACCATGTGGCTAGACCATACTTTATTTTTTATTTTTATTATTTATTTTTGAGACAGAGTCTCGCTCTGTTGCCCAGGTTGGAGTGCAGCGGCGCAATCTCAGCTCACTGCAAGCTCCGCCTCCCGGGTTCATGCCATTCTCCTGCCTCAGCCTCCTGAGTAGCTGGGACTACAGGCGCCCACCACCACACCCGGCTATTTTTTTGTATTTTTAGTAGAGATGGGGTTTCACCATGTTAGCCAGGATAGTCTCGATCTCCTGACCTCGTGATCCGCCCACCTCGGCCTCCCAAAGTGCTGGGATTACAGGTGTGAGCCACCGCGCCTGGCCGACCATACTTCATTATCCATTCACCTGCTGGTGGGCTTGGGCTGTTTTCACTTGTTGGCTGTTGTGAATGAGCGCTGGTGTAACCATTCATGAACACTTATATCCAACTGTGTGGTTGCTTTTTTCTTTGGAGACAGAGTCTCGCTCAGTCACCCAGCCTGGAGTGCAATGGTGTGATTCTCGTGCCTCAGCCTTCTGAGTAGCTGGGACTACAGGCATGCGCCACCACACCCAATTAATTTTTGTATTTTTGGGAGAGACGGGGTTTCACCATGTTGGCCAGGCTGGTCTTGAACTCCTGACCTCAAGTGATCTGCCCACCTCGGCCTTGCAAAGTGCTGAGATTACAGGTGTGCGCCACCACACCCAGCTGTTTGTGTGGTTGTTTCTTGAAGCTTCCGTTTTCTTCTCCCCAAAATGAGGATAATGAGTGAAAAGGCCAAACCTGGTTTGCCCTGCCTCCTGGAGTGAGCTCAGACAGAAAAGCCCCACATCAGCCTTTTCAGGGTTGAGGGTCTGTGAGGTGAGCCAAGCCCGGGGCTCTACCGCCTTCCTGACCGGAGGGGGAGGGTTTTGGGAGGAGGGAGGATACTACTCCACCTCCACCCCCAGGCATGGCAGAGCCAGCTCAGCATCTTGGCTTAGAAAAATTCCTCTTGCTGTATTATCTTGAACAGAGGCCAAAAGACCTGCTCCAGTGGACTCCTGGACTCATCCAGGCCTGCCATGCAGTGTGTTCAGGCTTTCTGAGCTCTGGACTCCTAGGGAAACTTACAAGAACCTTGTGGGTGATTTTCCTTCCCTGGAAACTCCAAGCTCTGGAGTGAGAGGGGTATAAAATGGAGGTCACAGGCCTGTAATCTTAGCACTTTGGAAGGGTGAGGCAGGTAGATCAACTGAGGTCAGGAGTTCGAGATCAGCCTGGCCAACATGGTGAAACCTCATCTCTACTAAAAATACAAAAATTAGTTGGGCGTTGTGGCAGGTGCCTGTAATCCCAGCTAGTTGGGAGGCTGAGGCAGGAGAATCACTTGAACCTGGGAGGTGGAAGTTGCAGTGAGCCAAGATCACACCACTGTACTCCAGCCTGGGTGACAGAGTGAGACTCTGTCTTAAAAAAAAAAAAAAAAAAATTAGCTGGGCATGAGGGTGTATGCTTGTAAGTTCCAGCTACTTGGGAGGCTGAGGTGGGAGGATCGCTTGAGCCCAGGAGATGGAGGCTGCAGTGAGTATGATCATGTCAGTGTTCCCCAGTCCAGATGAGACCATGTCTCAGAAAAAAAAAAAAAAAAAAAAAAAAAAGGATCAATGCTAGCCCCATTTTACAGAACAGAAAATAGTCAGAAGTTAAGAGTGTTGATCAATGGGCCGGACGACTTGGCCCATGCCTGTAATCCCAGCACTTTGGGAGGCCACAGGGAGCGGATCACCTGAGGTCAGGATTTCGAGACCTGCCTGGCCAACAAGGTGAAACCCCATCTGTACTAAAACTACAAAAAATTAGCCAGGCATGGTGGCGGGCACCTGTAGTCCCAGCTATTCAGCAGGCTGAGGCAGGAGAATCGCTTATACCCAGGAGGCGGAGACTGCAGTGAGCCGAGATCGTGCCATTGCACTCCAGCCTGAGCAACAAGAGTGAGACTCTGTCTAAAAAAAAAAAAAAAGTTGACCAGGGCCTAGGCCATGTAGCCAGAAGGTGGAGGATGCAGGATTCAAACCCAGGCCTGGGTGTGGAGCCCACACTCCCACCTGCCATGTTGGAGCTGATGTGTGGCTTGAGGTCACCAAGTTGTAGGTGACAAAGCTAAGATTTGAACCCATGTGTGACTCTGAAACAACTGACCCTTATGCCAAACCATATTCCAGACCATCACTGGCCACCCTACCCAGCCACCTCCCAGGCTCCTGGAGTTAGAGAATTGAACTGCAAACTGGAAGGACTTAGGGGTCATAAGACCCCTAGTTTTGTTTTCTGGTGAGGACTCTGAGCCACGATGGGGTCGTTTGTGACTTGAAGTCACGCCGTGAGGCTAGCAGGTGGGACTAGCCCTCCTGACTGTGGCCAGGGTCCAGGAGCTGCTCCCCTGGACTGGGCTCACCTGTGCCTCTTTCTTCCTCTTCCAGACGGAGCCCGTGGCTGGTGAGGCCGCAGAGCAGGGCCAGGCCGGGCCCTGCCCGCAAGGACGCCCAAACCCCTCATCGGCCCCTGGGCCCCAGAGCCCACCAGGCTCTCCCGCCGGCCCCACCATGACTTCGGAGTCCACGTCACCCCCAGTTGTGCCCCCGCTCCACTCCCCCAAGTCCCCAGTCTGGCCCACCTTCCCCTTCCACAGGGAGGGCAGCAGGGTCTGGGAGCGGGGTGGTGTCCCACCTCGGGACCTACCCAGCCCTCTGCCCACCAAGCGGACCAGGACCTATTCGGCGTGAGTACCTGCCCCTTGCCCAGGCCCTTGACCCTTGCCAGGACACAGGCTGACCATCCCCATCCTTTTCCAACTCCTGTTGTCCTCACCTGGGATAGGGGAACTGTGTGTGGACCTTCCAGTAACTGGATAGATGTTTGTCCCCTCCATCCATTCATCCATCCATGCATCCATCCACCCATCCATCCATCCATCCATCCATCCATCCATCCATCCATCCACCCACTCACCCACCCACCTGTCCGTCCATCCATCCATCCACCCATCCACCCATCCATCTGCCCGTCCGTTCGTCCGTCCATCCATCCATCCATCCATCCATCCACCCACCTGTCCGTCCATCCATCCATCCACCCATCTACCCATCCATCTGCCCGCCCATCCGTCCGTCCGTCCGTCCGTCCGTCCATCCATCCATCCATCCATCCATCCATCCATCCATCCATCCATCTATCCCACAAAGATTTACTGAGCTCCTGACCAGGGGGATCCAGGGATAAGACAAAGCCCCAGCCCATAAGCTGCTTACAATCTAGAGGGAACTTGTTCACCATCCATTACCACCCAGCAGGGTTAGGAGTGAGGACCCAGCACGGGGTACCGGAGGAGACGATGTCCTGGTTGGGTTTGGAAGATGTATCAGGTGAAGAAGGGAGCTGGCGATTCTGGGCAGATGGCACAGCGTGGGCAAAACCCAAGACACAGAGTTAACCTTTGGAGAGGGGTGGGCAGGGGGACAAAGAGTAGCCCTGGGCCTTTGGGGTAGGTCACCAATGAGGTGGCATGGGGGAGTAATAAGGGTCCATATGGGGGAGGCCAAAGGATCTTTTGGGAAGGACAGGGTCTTGCTCTGTCACCCAGGCTGGAGTGCAGTGGTGCAGTCATGACTCACTGCAGCCTCAACTTCCTGGGCTTAAGCGATCCTCCCACCTCAGCCTCCTGAGTAGCTGGGACTACTGGCGCATGTCACCACCCCCAGTTAATTTTTTAAAAAAATATTTTGGGCCAGATATAGTGGCTCATGCCTGTAATCCCAGCATTTTTGGAGGTCGAGGCAGGTGGATCAGTTGAGGCCAGGAGATCAAGGCAGTCTGGCCAACATGGCCAAACACTGCAAAACCCCGTCTCTACTAAAAATGCCAAACTTAGCTGGGCGTGGTGGTGGGTGCCTGTAATCCTAGCTACTCAGGAGGCTGAGGCATGAGAATCACTTGAACCCGGGAGGTGGAGGTTGTAGTGTGCTAAGATTGTGCCCCTGCACTCCAGCCTGGGTGATAGAGCGAGACTCTGTCTCAAAAAAAAAAAAAAAAAAAATTTTTTTTTGTAGAGATGGAAGTCTCCCTATGTTGCCCAGGCTGATCTCAAACTCCTAGGCCCAAGTGATCCTCCCGCCTCAGCCTCCCAAAGTGCTGGGATGACAGGTGTGAGCCACTGTGCCCGGCCTCATTATCATCGAATGGGGATGACTACGTGGTTCCTGGCCTGGGGCAAGTTTCTCGAAGCCCTGAGGCAGGCTCAGCAGAAAGGGCCCAGAACAGCTGTAGGGGTCCGGGGAGGAGTTCCTCAGGCCACAGCTGCAATCCCACTACCCTATCTCCAGGACAGCCCGGGCCTCAGCTGGCCCCGTGTTCAAGGGCGTCTGTAAGCAGTTCTCACGCTCACAGGGCCATGGCTTCATCACCCCCGAGAACGGGTCCGAGGACATCTTCGTACATGTGTCTGAGTGAGTCCCCTCCACCTCCGTTCTTGGCCCCTACCCTAGTGTCCCTAACGGTGCCTCAAAAATCTCTCTCCAGACCTCTCCCCTCCCTGGCTGAGGTCTGTATTCATGGCACCTTTTCTGTCCTCTGAGTAGGGACTGAAGGTATGTTGGGGGAGGAGGGCTGTGGCCAGGTGGGGAGTGGGCATGCAGACCCCAGAAGCCTGGGAGCCAGCAGCTGGGCCCTGGATCCCATTCCAGCATCATGGGGGTCTGAGAGGGCTAGGCCAGCTCCTGAGCCTCTTGGCCTGGAAAGGGCCTTCAGGTGGATGGGCCAGGAGGTAGAGATGGATGTCATGCCTAGGCCTGGCCCCACCCCCTCCTAATGCCCGGAGGACTGGGGCGAGGTCACTGAGCTTCTCAGCTTTAGGGATCTCCCTGTGCCCTTTCACATCTCAGTCCTCAAGGGACCCAGAAAGGGAGGTACAGTTTATGAATCCCGTTTTATTTATTTATTTATTTTTTGAGACGGAGTCTCGCTCTGTTGCCCAGGCTGGAGTGCAGTGGCACAATCTTGGCTCAGTGCAACCTCCACTTCCTGGGTTCAAGTGATTCTGCCCCCTCAGCCTCCCAAGTAGCTGGAATTACAGGTGTCAGCCACCACGCCCAGCTAACTTTTTTATTTTTAGTAGAGACAGGGTTTCGCCATGTTGGCCAGGCTGGTGTCAAACTCCTGACTCAGGTGATGCGCTCGCCTCGGGCTCCCAAAGTGTTGGGATTACAGGTGTGAGCCACTGTGCCTGGCCATGAGTCCCATTTTACAGATTCGAGAGCTGAGGTTCTGAGAAGCAAGGCCTGGCCAGGCCTCCTGACCTAGGGAGGCCTAGGGCCAGGCTGCCCCTGAGGCCAGGCCACAGGACTGTCCAGGGCATAGGGCCTGCCAGTGGGCTAACACCCCTCTTCCTGCCCGCCAGCATCGAGGGGGAGTACGTGCCAGTGGAGGGCGATGAGGTGACCTACAAGATGTGCCCTATCCCGCCCAAGAACCAGAAGTTCCAGGCCGTGGAGGTGGTGCTCACTCAGCTGGCCCCCCACACTCCCCACGAGACGTGGTCTGGCCAGGTCGTGGGCTCCTAGGCTGGGTGGCTCACAGGCCAGCTGGCTGGGGGGGTGGGGAGCCACACAGGGTGAACGGGCAGCAGCCAGCTCCATGCCCCACTGCCCTGGCTGATCAGTCCTTCGGTGGCCTCAGTGTGCACGTCTGTCTGTCTGTCCGTCTGTGCTTGTGGCTGTGAGCGTGTGCCTCCACCCACCCCATGACCCGTGACTACTGTGCGAGCTGGAAAGGAAGTGGGTGGAGGGCGAGGCCACCAGACCTGGCTTCTCGCTGTCCACTGCCTTTCTCCTCCCCTCCCTGCCGCAGACACGCAGGACCTGCTCGCCCTCCTACCCACCCATCCCCATGGTGACTGAGCCTCGAGAGCCTGTGCTGGGCTCACTCCCTGGCCTCCGCCCCTGAGCTGTCCCATGTCAGTCCACAGTTCTCTGTGCTACTTTTACATCTCCCTCCCTTGGCTGAGGTCCCCCGCCACCATCTAGACCCTTCCCTCAGAAGCCTGGCCGGTGGGTGCTTTTGGGGAGCCTCCCAGCCACTGGCAGGGGAGGAGGACAAATACAGAGGCACACAGGCCCCTCACTGCTGAGGCCAGCCTTCCTTCCTGCTCTGCTCTCAGTGCACTAGAGAGGCAGGAAGAGGGGCCAGAGGGCGCAAGGGGTTTGGGGCTCCCATTTCGCCGGCCAGTCCCTCCTCCTCAGCCTGGCAGTGGCTCTGGGCTCCTTCCCCTGGGCTGTACTGAGCCAAGCCCAGGGGTTTGCAGAGGGTGGGGGTCCATCTCTCCAGCTTGGCTGCAGCCCTCCTTTACCCTGACTCACAAGCACTACTGATGCTCTGCGCCACGCCCGGCTGACAGCTGCTGAAGATGCCGAGATGGACAGACACACATCCATCAGGCAGGGCCGGGCCAGGGCACCCACAAGGAGGGCCCTCAGCCTGGGAGACTGGCCCTGCGGCCCCCACGTCAAACCCTCTTCCCAAAGCCCTGACAGACCAGCGGCTGAGGTGTGGCTCTTGCTTTTACCGTGTCCATCCCTGAAGATGTGTGACTGTCGCTGTCACCTGGAGTCCTTTTGGGGCCAAGATGTGTATGCACTTGGGGTCGTGGCCATTCACTCCCATACAGGGGTGAGGGTGGCCTGGCCCGGGAGGCCAGGAAGGAGGGCCCTGTCTGCCTCCACCTCTGGGCGCACCCCCTGCCTACCACCCTCCCTTCTAGACAGCACATCGCCTGACTGGGGAGAAGTGGGGCCATGGTTCAAGGGAGGGCCGGCCAGGGGAGTCACCCTTATGAAACCCAGTCTGTGAGTAACGGGGGGCTAAAATACCCAGGATGAGGGGATCAGTGACTGTCTAGGAGGATCCCTGGCCTTGTAGGTGCCCCAAGACCCCAGGGTAGAGATCAGCTGGGATGCCTGCATCCCAACCTTGCCCCCAGGGCCCATCACATAAAATCTGGGAGCCCAGAGCTGCTGAGGTATGCTGGTCAGCTCCCCTAAAATGGGCACGGCCCAGCCTGTCCCATGAGGAACAAAGGCCCCTGGCCCCCTTGAGAGAGGGCTTGTTAGTGAGGGATGACTCCTGGGGGCCCCCAAGGCTCCCCTCCTGTAGGGAGGCCACCTCTTAAGGTACCACTATCAGTCAGGATGTGGTGGCATCAGCCCTGGGGCCGCCTGGGTGGCAGGGGGGCAGCAGCTCTCCTCCCCACTCACAGGCCTTGCAGTGCCCATTTGGAATTCCTCCCAAGACCCCTGGCCACCCAAACCCCCCATTCTTCCTAACACTGGCAATAAACCCTCAACTGTGACCCACCGTGCCCTAAAGCTGCCTCTGTGTCAGGGTCCCCAAGGAAAGGGCTGGGGGTGGACCCAGCTCTTCTCTGGGGCTTCAATGGCCATCTCCTCGACTGGATCAGGGACTTCCTTTGTGACCTGGGCCAAGTCCCTGCCCTCTCTGTGCTGTTTACTCATCGGCAAAGTAGTGGCTGTGACGGCATGTGACTAGGGCCAATTATCCATTTAGACACAACTGACACCTACTTTGTTCTGGGAAATTTAATACTGTGACAAAGTTCTCTAAAATAGGCACCTGCGCCACCATACCCCACCGTCCAGGGAATAGGCACCTTGTTCTGGGAAATTTAATACTGTGACAAAGTTCTCTGTAACAGGCACCTGCGCCACCACATACTCCCACCGTCCAGGAATAGCACTGCTTCACCACATACCCTCACCGTCTAAGGAATAGGCACTGCGCCCACCATACCCCCACTGTCCAGGAATAGGCACCTGCGCCACCATACCCCACCATCCAGGAACAGGCGCCTACGCCACCACACCCCCACCATCCAGGAACAGGCGCCTACGCCACCACACCCCACCATCCAGGGAATAGGCACCTGCGCCACCATACCCCACCGTCCAGGGAACAGGCGCCTACGTCACCACACCCCACTGTCCAGGGAATAGGCACCTACGCCACCATACCCCACTGTCCAGGACAGGCAGGCAGGGCAGGCTAGATCTCGTACCGACACCTGTGCACGCCTCCTCCTGGCGCAGAAACCTGTTCTATACCGAAATACAAGCAGCAGCTGTGGCCTCGGCCACCAGGTGGAGCATGGGGAACACTCTGGGCTCTGGGAGGACAGAGCCAGTGCCACTAGGAGCTGACTGGCTAGGGACGGTTGTCCACACAGACTCTGGCCCCATTCGGGTGGGCCTTGCAGCAGGCGTCCTGGGCCAGAGGAGGGGCCCTGGCATCTATCCAACACCAGGACCTCTCTTTAGGCCTAGGCCAAACTCTTCAGAAGTCACAACGCACAGATGTGGGCCCCGGTCACGCCTCATGGGCTGTCTCTGGGAAGAAAATCTCCCGGCATCGCTGCACTGTGTCCTGAGGAGACACCACGCTGTGGCCAACAGTCCGGGGGTCAGCAAAGATCTCAAAGTCATTCCCACCCTGCACACAGAGGACGGGCAGAGGAGGCATATTTAGGCAGAGTCCCTCTCCACGTTGGCTGCTAAGGACCTGCCCCTCCTCCTGCCCCTTCAGAACTGGCAGGAAGCCCACCTTCTCACTCCTGTCAGACCCGCCCTGACTTGCTGTGTGATGTAGAACAAGTGCCCAGCCCTCTCGGGGCCCCAGCCTTCCGATCTGTGTAACGGGCCTGGTGAGCAATGGCTGTTCTCCAGGAGCCTCCCCAAGAGGTCTGCTGTGTTGCCCCGTGTTCTGGCCTTGACCTGGATGATTTGTGTTGGAGAAGCCACCAGACCTGGCTTCTTGCTGTCCACTGTGTTGGGGGAAACCTGGGGTGGGCCACACTCACAGGGCTGGTCTCGTTCCCAAAGAAGTGGATGGTGTCGAAGCTGTCCTGGTCCAGGCTATCCAGGCAGTAGCGCTTGTCCCAGCCCTCGGGGAAGACGTCAAAGCTGATCATGCCTCCTGTGGGCAGGGGTGGGGACTGTTATTCCCTGCTGGGAGGGGCAGACAAGGCTAACAGAAGGGCTGCTTGTTCATTCATTCATTCAACAACCCTTGGGGATTGGGACACGGGACAGACTTAGGATCCTCAAGGAAGTTATGACACAGGTTGGAGAACAAACAAGACTACAAGACTACAAAGTGGGTGGGGGAAGCTCATCCAGCCAGGGTGGTCAGGGGAGACCTCTGACGAGGTGGCAATGAGCTGGGACCTGAGGCACAAAGTACAGCCCCTGAGACAGAGAACAAAGTACAGTCCCTGAGGCAGGGAAGAAGATGAGTGTCCCAGCAAGGGAGGAGGCTGGGAGAGGCAGGGCGAGGACGGGCAGGCCCTGGGCATCACGTGGAGAGGGAGGAGAGCCTAGGGAGGGCTTTGGGCAGAGGCACACCATGACTCCAGCTCCAGCCTCTCCGGCCACTGGGGAACGGGTGAGGTGGCAGAGAGGAGCCCGGCTGCGTCAGGTCGGTTGGAGGCTGGGATAAGCTGCTGGCAGTGGAGGTGTGGGCACCAGTGGGATTCCAGATGCAGGACCCTGGGACTTCTAGGAGTTTGGACTTGGGAAGGGGCGGGGGAGAGCATTCAAGGTAGGGGCTCTGGTTTTTGGCCTGAGAAACTGCATGGGCATAGGGCATTTACCACTGAGGTGTGAGGTGGGGAAAACTGGGGGCCAGTAAACGCTGAGCCCCTTCCTGCATCAGGCTCAGCCACCCCCTCTGCCTTGAGTTGGGGAGGGGCTCCTAAAGCTACTGGGGGCCACAGCCAGTGGGGCGGAAGGTTCGAGGAGGGGCCCTGTACCAGGCCTCCCGAGCCCTCTGCAGGGTGGACGTACCTCGGGAGAACCTCAGCCCTTTGCCAGCAAACTCTGTTTTCAGGGCTTCCACGAACTTCTCCCGGATCTTCTCTTTCTGCAGAGGGGAGGGAGCAGATGGCAGCTCAGAGAACCTGCTGTGTGCCAGGCTCCATGTGAGCGTGCTGAGCCTTCTAGGTGGGCTGAGAGTGTCCCAAGCTGTGAAGAAATGTTTCCACATGGCCGAGGCTGGCTGCACCTCCCGTCTCTGGAGAACAAGGCTGGTCACTGGACAGCCCCATGTGCAAGGCCAGCCTCGGCAGGGACTGGCACTGTGACCTCGAGCTGGTTACTCACTCTCTGGCCTCCTCATCTAAGGAAGGGAAGTACTCATCCCCACTTCAGGGTTCTGGAAGACAAGCTGGGTCAAGCATTTACACCAGCTCTGGGCCGGGGCAGGGCACATGGATCAGGAAGGTTCATGCTCCTCCAGTGCCAGAAGGCGGCAAACAAGAGCCAAAAATACTTGAGAAGGACCAGGGCTCGGGGTGGGGAGTTAGTGTGTGGCTCCCCAACCCCATGCCAGGCATGGTCCATGTGCCACCTCATCCAGTCCTCATGACAGACCATGGGATGGGAACTGTTATTACCCTCACCTTACACATAAGCAAACTGAGGCACACAGTAATAAAGCTGTTTTTCCAGGTTACGAGGCAAATGGGTAGAGTTGGGACTGGGAACCTGGGTGGACAGGAAGGGATCACCTCTCAGCACGTGTGTGTGGGGGAGTGGTTCTTTGCCAATGACCAGTTGTAATTACTCCAACAAAAAAAGTCCCGTGGCTGGGCGCAGTGGCTCACGTCTGTAATCCCAGCACTCTGGGAGGCCAAGGTGGGCAGACCACTTGAGGCCAGAGTTTGAGACCAGCCTGAACATGGCAAAACCCTGTCCTTACTAAAAAATACAAAAATTAAGCCAGCGTGGTAGCTCACGCCTGTAATCCCAGCACTTTGGGAGGGTGAGGAGGGCCGATCACAAGGTTAAGAGATCAAGACCATCCTGGCTAGCATGGCGAAACCCTATCTCTACTAAAAGTACAAAAATTAGCTGGGTGTGGTGGCTCACGCCTGTAGACCCAGCTACTCGGGAGGCTGAGGCAGAAGAATTGCTTGAACCCAGGAGGCGGAGGTTGCAGTGAGCCGAGATTGTCCCACAGCACTGGGTGACAGAGCGAGACTCCATCTCCAAAAAAAAAAAAAAAAGGGGTATTTCTTTGCGAGGTGCAGTGGTTCACACCTATAATCCTGGTGCTTTGGGAGGCTGAGGCAGAAGGCCCACTTGAGGTTAGGAGTTCAAAACTGGCCTGGGAGACACAGTGAGATCCCATCCCTACAAAAAATTTTAAATTTTAAAAATTAGCCTGGCATGGAGGAATGCACCTGTGGTCCCAGCTACCAGGAGGCTGAGGTGTGAGGATCGCTTGAGCCTGAGAGATCGAGGCCGCAGTGAGCTAGGACTGGATCACTGCACTGCACTCCAGGCTGGGCAACAGAGTTAAGACCCTATCTCAAAAACAACAATAATGACAAAAAGTATGCCGTGTGCCGGGCATAGGAGATCCAGAGGAGAACAAGCCACAGAAATCCCTGCCCTGATGGAGCTTACAGTTCTGGGACAGGGACAGACAGTAATTCGGGTTTTGAAAGTAGATGGTGGAAGTTGTCCAAGGCTGCTTGGGGAGAAATAAGGTAGGGGAAGGAGCAGGAAGTGCAGCAGTGGATGTGATACTCTGGGAGGCCCCACTGGGAAAAGGACAGGAAAGGTGATTTGAAGGAGAGGAGGGACGAGCTGGGCCTGAGAGAAGTGTGCTCTGGCAGAGGCACAGCACTCTAGAATCAGCCAAGAGGCCATAGCTGGAGCAGAGGGCAGGGAGAGCCACCGAACAGGTCAGAGAATGATGGAACGATGCGGACGGGCCAGCGTGGAAAGGTTTGGATGGGTGGATCACTCCACCGCCGAGAGGGAGGGAGGCGGTGGGGAGAAAAGCAAAATGCACATCAACGTTCAGCAGGGGCAGCACAAACAGAGGTGAGAGGACCTTGGTGTGTTCCAGGAATAGAAAGTGGAACTTGAAGGGCACAGAGAGGAGACGCAGCGAGCCGGAGCCAGGCAGAGCCCTCAGGGCTTGGGGCACCATAGCAGGGGGCTAGAACATCATCCAGCTGGCAACGAGGAGGCAAGGAAGGATTGTAAGTGAGGGGCAGGGCTGGGGGGTGAATGTGGCTGATGCATTTGAAGGGTTCTAATGGGCCAGGCGCGGTTGCTCATGCCTGTAATCTCAGCACTTTCGGAGGCCCAGGCAGGTGGATCACCTTAGGTCAGGAGTTCAAGACCAGCCTGGCCAACGTGGTAAAACCCTGTCTCTACTAAAAAAGTACAAAAATTAGCTAGGTGTGGTGGTGCACACCTGTAATCCCAGCTACTTGGGAGGCTGAGGCAGGAGAATCGCTTGAACACGGGAGGTGGGAGTCGCAGTGACCTGAGATCATGCCACTATACTCCAGCCTGGGTGACAGAAGGAGACTCTTATCTCCCTCCCCCCGCCAAAAAAAAGAAAGAAAGGTTCTCAGTGGCATTGCCGGAGAGCAGGCTGGCAGGGTTATGCAGCGGGTAGGGAGGGACAGAGAGGAAAGTTGGGGCAACCTGGGGCGGGGGAAAGCGGTAATCTAGAGTGGGGTCTCAGTTCTGCAGATGAACAGATTTGACACTGACTCGAGAGGCTGATGAAATAGGAGCTGTTGGACCCGATGTGGGTGGGAAGGTGGGAATGATGCTCCCAGGTGTTGGCCTGGCTCAGTGGGTGGCTGCTGGTGCTGGTCACCTAGGAAGGGGGACCAGCAGCGTTGGAAAGATGCACGTGTGTCTACAACAATGGCACACGGTAGGTGCCTGAAAGGGTATCAGTTAAATCAGAACACATCCCCCCAGTCTATTTTACCGATGAGAAAATAAAGGCTCAGATAAATTGAGTGACTGAGGCCCTACAGGCCTAAGGTTGCATAGCTAGTGGTACCTTGTCCAGTTCGGAGAACTCGATCCGTTCCTCCAGGGTGCAGCTCCGGCCGATGGGCGAGATGTTCAGCATGCCATTCCGGAACTCAATGAAGGTTCCACTGGTGGTGAGGGAGGGCGGGGAGCCAGAGAGAACCAGAATGGCCCTGAATTAAAATCTAGCCCCACCTGGGACCCCAGCCTCCTAGGACTTCAAAGGGGAAAATAATCCACACTCCCCGTAAAAAATCAGGGGCCCAGGTATCTCCAGGCTCCCTCTGAGGGACCCACACTTCTCCTCCCTCAGGCCCCAGGTTCTGGAGACCAGGCTGGTGGGACCTCACCGCTTCTTGGGCAGCCTGAGCAGGGCCATGTAGCTGAGGCAGAAGTTGATCAAGTCCTGCAGCAGCTCCTCCCCCAGGTGGTTCTGGATGGTCTGGCCAAGGAACACAGGGCTCTGAGCGTGGCCTGGGCTGCCTGACCTGAGACAGGCACAGTGTCTCTCCCCCAGCCCCGGACAGAAGGCACCCTTGGACTGCTCCACTATGGAAAAGCGGGGAGCCCCTGGCTAAGCCCTGGGGGACACTGACCTGCTTGGAGAGCAGTCGTCCGTGCTTATATTGCACTGTCCCGTTCTCAGCAAACACATAATCAAACTTCTCAATGACTTCGGGGTCACATAGAGGACAGGAGGAAGAAAGACTGTGAGACCAGGTCTGTGACCCCACAGGCAAGTAAAGAGACAGGAAGCCCACACCCTTGGTTTCGTATTCAAGGGCCATTTGTTCAATCTGAGGCTGCAACCTGCTTCTCCAGCCTTTCTCCTTCTGCAGTTTGGTTTTCTTCCAAAGAAGCCAGTCACACCTGTGGGCCTCTGCACACAGGCATCCATGCAGGTCCTTCTGTCAGGACCGCCCTTCCCTGGCTTCCTTGCCACTCATCCTCCAAGATCCAGCTTCCTCCTCTGGAAGCCATGCAGTACTCTCTGGCAGAGAGCATCATTTATACTCTGTGCTCCCCTGCCCCTCTGCAGATGAACTTCCTTCTGCTCTACAGCTGCCATCTCACTGGGTTCTCAAGGCTGGCTGCATGGGAGAGTTAGAGGTTTCAGCTCTGGCCGCCAGGAGAAGCAGCTGGAGTGGTTGGGAGGTGGGAGGCGCAGGGAGCACAGCCCAGAGGCTGTTGTGGGGTCTGGGTGGCACGTGGTTACCTAGACTATGAAGGCATGGTGGAGATGGAGACAGAGGGGACAGGGAGATATTTTGGGGTTTGCTAAACAAGAGGTGGGGAAAAGGAAAAATTCGAGGAAGTTTCTGGCTTGAGGAATTGGAGGTACCCACTTTGACTGGTTTGAGACCAGGAGCTCTGAGGTCCAATCAATTTTCTGGATAACTTCAGAGTCGTCCTCTGTTAAATGGGATGATCACGCCTACTCTAAAGTGTGATTGTGGGGATTAAATGCAATGGAATAACATTAACACATGATCATTTTTGACAAATGGTAGCCATCATTGGTTCTGCCCTTTTTTTTTTTTTTTGGAAGCAGAGCCTCATTCTGTCACCCAGGCTGGAGTGCAGTGGCCTGATCTTGGCTCACTGCAACCTCCACCACTCAGGTTCAAGTGATTCTCCTGCCTCAGCCTCCCGAGTAGCTGGGATTACAGGCATGTATCACCACACCCAGCTAATTTTTTATATTTTTAGTAGAGACGGGGTTTCACCATGTTGGGCACGCTGGTCTTGAACTCCTGATCTCAAGTAATCCACCTGCCTCGGCCTCCCAAAGTGCTGGGATTACAGGCGTAAGCCACCATGCCAGCCAGTTCAGCCCATTTTAAAGATGAGGAAATCAAGATTCAGCAGGCAGAAATGAGAATGTAAACTGCATAAGGGCAGGTTTTGCTTGCTTTGTCCCAGCTATTTCTCTAGGGCCTGGCACAATCCCTGGCAATAGGAGGTGTTCAAGTGTTTGTCACATCAGTGAGGGAACTATCTGGCTGCTCTCTCTCTACTTCTGCCCCACAGAAGCAGGACCGGCTCTTTGAAGATGCCCAGGAATCTCTCAAACTCCCCACTCCCTCTACCCCCAGTCTCACTCTTACCTTCATCCCCGTCACCCAGCTGCTCAGCGATCTTAGAGTAGTCAGAGCCGCCCACCACACCGATCTGCACTCTACTTCGCAGCTTCTGCAGGAAGGCGGCCACCTCAGGGTCAATTTTCTATGGGGGGAGAGGGGAAGCATAGCATTCTGGTTTTCAGCATGTCTGGGACCTCCACTTAGCCCTCACTTAGTGCTCAGAACCCAGGGAGCCCACGTTCTAACTGGATCTGAAGCAGTACGAAGCTTAGACACCAAAAATTAGACAGGTTGGGCACCATGGCTCAGGTCTGTAATCCCAACACTTTGTGAGGCCACGGCAGAAAGATTGCTTGACCCAGGAGTTTAGAGCCTAGGCAGCAAAGGGAGACGTCATCTCTATGGAAAAAAAAAAAAAAAATTTATTTTTGGAGACGAACTTTTGCTCTGTCGCCCAGGCTGGAGTGCAGTGGTGTGATCCTGGCTCACTGCAACCTCCATCTCCCATGTTCAAGTGATTCTTCTGCCTCAGCCTCCTGAGTAGCCAAGACTACAGTTGCCCAACACCACACCCAGCTAATTTTTGTATTTTTAGTAAAGACGGGGTTTCACCATGTTGGCCAGGGTGGTCTCGAACTCCTGACCTCAAGTGATCTGCCCCCCTCGGCCTCCCAAAGTGCGGGGATTACAGGCATGAGCCAGTGCGCCTGGTCTTTTTTTTGTGTGTGTGTGTGGTGGAGTCTGGCTCTGTCACCCAGGCTGAAGTACAGTGGTGTGAACTCGGCTCACTGAAACCTCTGTCCAGGCTGGAAAACAATGGCGCAATCTCAGCTCACTGCAACTTCTGCCTCCCGGGTTCAAGCGATTCTCCTGCCTCAGCCTCCTGAGTAGCTGGGATTACAGGCGCCTGCCACCATGCTCAGCTAATTTTTTTTTTTTTTTTTAATTTTTAGTGGAGACAGGGTTTTGCCATGTTGGCCAGGTTGGTCTTGAACTCCTGACATCAGGTGATCCACCCACCTGGGCCTCCCAAAGTGCTGGGATTACAGGCATGAACCACTGCGCCCAGCCCATGCCTGGCTAATTTTTAAAAATTTTCGGTCGGGCGCGGTGGCTCATGCCTGTAATCCCAGCACTTTGGGAAGCCCAGGCGGGTGGATCACCTGAAGTCAGGAGTTCGAGATCAGCCCGGCCAACCTGGCAAAACCCTGTCTCTACAAAAGTTAAAAAATTAGCTGGGCGCGGTGGTAGGCGCTTGTAATCCCAGCTACTCAGGAGGCTGAGGCAGGAGAATCGCTTGAACCCGGGAGGTTGAGGTTGCAGTGAGCCGAGATCACGCCATCGCACTCTAGCCTGGGGGACAAGAACAAGACTTTGTCTCCAAAAAAAAAAAAAAATTAGCCAGGCATGGTGGCACTCGCCTGTAGTCCCAGCTACTCCAGAAGCTGAGGCAGGACAATCACTTGAGCCCAGGAGTTCGAGGCTGCAGTGAGCTGTAATGGCGCCACTGCACTCCAGACTGGCTGACAAAGCGAGACCCTGTCTCTAACAACGATGACGAAATAGCATCACAATCAAGTTGATTCTTGAGGAGCCAAAGAACAACAACAACAAAAATAGCCCCACAAAACAATGTTTAATATTTGCTCTGGGCAAACAGATCCAGATAAAGGCCTGGAGGAAAGCCACACCACAGTAACCACATTACCTTGGGGAGGGGGGCCAGGCCTGGGATCCTGGTGTAGTCAGAGGGGACTTTACCCTTCTCTGTTAGGTTTTCATTCTTTACCAGGAGAGTGTGATCATGAATATGTGTACAATTAAAAATTAACTTTCAAAAGGCACTAAGCACAGAGGCTGGCCCGTAGACAAATTAATAGGCTGTTCTTATTCAGGTTGTTATGTTTGTGGAACAAAAAGTCAGAGGGAGGCATCAGAACTGCGCCTAGGCCCTGCCACCTTTGTTCCAGATCTTTTATTTATTTATTTGTTTGTTTGAGATGGAGTTTCACTCTTGTTGCCCAGGCTGGAGTGCGATGGCACAATCTTGGCTCACTGCAACCTCTACCTCCTGGGTTCAGTCGATTCTCCTGCCTCTGCCTCCTGAGTAGCTGGGACTACGGGCAGGCCATGCCACCACGCCCAGCTTTTTTTTTTTTTTGGAGACAGAGTCTCGCTCTGTCGCCCAGGCTGGAGCACAATGGCACATTCTCGGTTCACTGCAACCTCTGTCTCTCTGGTTCAAGCGATTCTCCTGCCTCAGCCTCCCGAGCAGCTGGGATTACAGGTGCATGCCACCATGCCTAGCTAATTTTTTGTATTTTTAGTAGAGATGGGGTTTCACCATATTGGTCAGGCTGGTCTTGAACTTCTGACATTGTGATCTGTCCGCCTCGGCCTCCCAAAGTGCTGGGATTACAGGCATGAGTCACTGAACCCAACCTCATTTTTGTATTTTTAGTAGAGACAGAGTTTCACCATGTTAGCCAGGCTGGTTTCGAATTCCTGACCTCAGGTGATCCGCCCACCTCGGCCTCCCAAAGTGCTGGGATTACAGGCATGAGCCACTGCAACTGGCCCACCTTCGCTCCAATCCTGCCATCTTCCTCCCGGACCCACCCCTGCAGGAAGGCAGAGCGGGCTGATCCTTCCTTGAGGCCCCAGGGCCCAAGCCAGGGTAATTTCATCTGGGACCTAAGAGAGGAGGCTAAGACCTGGGTTCCCATCAGCCACTGCCCAGTAAAGCCCATCCCACTGTTCCCCCACGCTACAAGACCTGTCGGTTGGTCCTTGAGGCCCCCAGACTGGAGGGTGGGTTACCCACGGGGAGGGCACGAATGAAACCTGCTTACTGATGCATCCAGCTGGTGAGGGGGCATTTGGGGACTCACTCACAATGAGACCCAGTGGGAGAAAAACTGAGCAGAGGTAAGAGGCTCAACACAGCGAGTCTTTAGAAGAAAACCACACTCTTACCCTCACTATGCCTCAGTGTCCTCACAGCAAACAGACTAGGCCTGAAGCCTCTCACCTACGGGTGGGTAGAGCCCATAAACGAATTTGAAAAGAAGCCCTCTCTGCTCCACGACTGGGGGTGGAAGGTAAAGTGGATGATAGGGCTTCAGAAACCAGACCCAGGCCCAGGCCTGCAAAGGTCGGGGTGGGAAGACTCTGAGACCCCCTGTCTCCCACCAGATGGTGACTGACACTTGGCTGCGTGCTTGTGTGCCTGGAACCCCGGTTCAGAAGTCAGCTCTGACCACTGGTGCGTTGTAGGGCTGAACTAGGGTGGGATCCCCAGCTCAGGAGGCTGGGGCCTCCGGGAGACAGGCCCTAGGGGCATGTGAAAGCATCTGGGGACAGAGGGAGCTAGGCCCCTGATCGCAGCCTCTTCCCTCCAGTACTGGATCCTACCCCAACACTCCCAAGCAGAACACAGGCAGGGACGCTGCTGGGGCAGTGACGTGGAGGGCCAGGTCCCCTCACTCCCGGTGGGTGGCCCCGGATGTCAGGGGGCCGGGTACTGCCGCATGCTACACTCGGTCCCGGGGTGTCCACGGTCACTCTGCTGCAGATCCCACACTCAGCCTTGGGGGTGTCCGCGTGACACTCCCGGCGGGAGCTTCCAAACTTCAGGGTCCTACCTGGCGAGCCGGCGTGAGGGTCCCGTCCACGTCAAACAGGCAGAGGACCCGCTCCTTCCTGCGGGCTCCCTGGGCGGTGACTGCCATGGCTGCAGCTCCGCGCCCGGGGCGGAGTCTGGAAGATGCAGCCGCAGAAGTAGCGCAGGGAGAAGATTCGACAGGGCGGGTCTTTAGGGGGCGGGGCCAGCAGACGGCCTGATTGCGCCGAAGGGGCGTGGTCTCGGCGGACGGAAGCGGGGGCGGGACCTGAGTTGATTCTGATTGCTCTTGGAAGAGGCGGGCGAGGCATAGGGCGGAGCGCAGCCCTCCAGGTTCGATTGGATTCCTCCAAACAAGACGGAGGCGGGGCCTGAGCCTGGGCCCGGCAGGAAGTGAGTGAACCCGGAAGACAGGGGAGGGGCCAGAATTGGCGGGTTGATAGTGATTGCAACAGGCCGATTAAAGGGCTGGGTCGGGCGGGGCCTCTACCGTACTGTGCAGTGCCTGGTGGGCCAGGCGGGACTAAAAGAGCCGAGGTCGCTCTCCACTCTCACAAGACTTGTGGTCATCTCTTTGCCTTACAAATTTTGAGCTGTAGGAAATCTCCTGAGCCGGGCGCTGTGGCTCACGCCTGTAATCTCAGCAGTTTGGGAGGTCGAGGCGGGCGGATCACCTGAGGTCGGGAGTTCAAGACCAACCTGACCAACATGGAGAAACCCCGTCTCTACTAAATATACAAAATTAGCCGAGCGTGGTGGTGCATGCCTGTAATCCCAGCTACTCAGGAGGCTGAGGCAGGAGAATCGCCTGATTCCAAAGAAGCCAGAGGTTGCTTTGAGCGGGAAGCTGAGGTTGCTGTGAGCCAAGATCGCGCCATTGCACTCCAGCCTGGGCAACAACAGTGAAACTCTGCCTCAAAAAAAAGAAAGAAAGAAAGAAAAGAAAAGAAAAAGAAATCTCCTGAAGGCCTTTGTTCAGGCTTTGGACTTTGCCAAATTGCCTTCCCCAAGACCCAGCTCTCAGGGTCTACCTCCTTGGAGACCTTCCCAGATTCTTTTTTTTTTTTTTTTTTTTTTTTTTTTGAGACAGAGTCTCGCTCTGCCCAGGCTGGAGTGCAGTGGTGGGATCTCTGCTCACTGCAACTTCCACCTCCCAGGTTCAAGCGATTCTCATGCCTCAGCCTCCCGAGTAGCTGGGACTACCGGCGTGTGCCACCATGCCCAGCTAATTTTTGTATTTTTACTTATTTTTATTTTATTTTATTTTATTTTTTGAGACAGGGCCTTATTTATTTATTTATCTTTGAGACTGGGTCTCACTCTGTTACCCAGGCTGGAGTGCAGTGGCGCGATCTCGGCTCACTGCAACCTCTGCCTCCCGGGTTCAAGCGATTCTCCTGCCTCAGCCTCCCGAGTGGCTGAAACTATAGATGTGCCACCACACCCGGCTAATTTTTTTTTTTTTTTTTCCTGAGATGGAGTTTCGCTCTTGTTGCCCAGGTTGGAGTGCAATGGTGCGATTTCGGCTTACCACAACCTCTGCCTCCCGAGTAGCTGGGATTACAGGCATGCACTACCACGCCCGGCTAATTTTGTATTTTTAGTAGAGATGGGGTTTCATCATGTTAGCCAGGCTGGTCTCCAACTCCTGACCTCAGGTGATCTGCCCGCCTCAGCCTCCCAAAGTGCTGGGAATGCAAGCGTGAGTTACCGTGCCCAACCAACCTTCCCGGATTATATTCACAAGTATTTAACCATTGCATTGACTTTGGAGTCAGTTCCAGGTTGTCTTCCCGGCTCCACCACTATGGGACCTTGGACAAGTCACTTCACCTCTCAGAGGCTTTGTGTCTTCACCTATAAAATGGGATGAACACCACCTACTTTGTAGGGTTGTTTTTCACATGAAAATAAATAACAGGCCGGTGCAGTGGCTCACGCCTGTAATCCCAACACTTTGGGAGGCCGGGATGGGCGGATCACCTGCGGTCAGGAGTTTGAGACCAGCCTGGCCAACATGGGGAAACCCCACCTGTACTAAAAATACAAAAATTAGCCAGGCATGGTGGCAGGCGCCTGCAATCCCAGCTACTTGGGAGGCTGAGGTGGGAGAATCGCTTGAACGTGGAAGGCGGTGGTTGCAGTAAGACGAGATCATGCCACTGCACTCCAGCCTGGGAGACAGAGCGAGACTTCACCTCAAACAAACAAACAAACAAACAAACAAAATAAATAATAACTGTAGAGTTGGATGCGGTGGCTCACACCTGTAATTCTAGTACTTTGGGAGGCCAAGGTGGGTGGATTGTTTGAGCCCAGGCGGTCAAGATCAGCGTGGGCAATATGGCAAAACCCTGTCTCTACTAAAAATACAAAAAATTAGCCGGGCGTGGTGGTGGGCACCTGTGGTCCCAGCTACGCAAGAGGCTGAGGTATGAGAATCACCTAAGCCCAAGAAGTTGAGGCTGCAACGAACCAGATATTCCCACTGCACTCCGGCCTTCGTGACAGGAGTGAGACCCTGTCTCAAGGGAAAAAAAAAAAAAAAAAAAAGGTGCGGATCATATGAGCCGGCAATTCAACTTTTAGAAAACAGGAAAAGAAGGCCAGGCGCAGTGGCTCACGCCTGTAATCCCAGCACTTTGGGAGGCCGAGATGGGCAGATGACGAGGTCAGGAGATCGAGACCATCTGGCTAACATGGTGAAATCCCGTCTCTACTAAAAATACAAAAAATTAGCCAGGCGTGGTGGCGGGCGCCTGTAGTCCCAGCTCCTTGGGAGGCTGAGGCAGGAGAATGGCGTGAACCCAGGAGGCAGAGCTTGCAGTGAGCCGAGATCCGGCTACTGCACTCCAGCCTGGGCGACAGAGCAAGACTCCGTCTCAAAAAAAAAAAAAAAAAAAAAAAAAAGCAAGAAAATAGAAAAAGGAAAAATACATGGAATTGTTTAAATGAACTAAGACCCATCTAGAAGATGAAATGCTATGAAGCCATGAAAATCTGCATTGTTTGTGTGCGTGTGTGCGTGCGTGTGTGTGTGTGTGAGAATAGGGTCTATCTTATCCAGGCTGCTCTCAAACTCCCGGCCTCAAATGGTCCTCACGACTCAGCCTCCCAAAGTGTTGGGATTACAGGCGTGACCCACCGCACCAGGCCCCCATACACAATTCTTGTTTTTCTGACCGGGTAGCTATGGTGTCCTGGAGAGATCACTGGAGTTGGAATCAGGAGAACTGCAGTTTGGCCCTGGCTAAGTATAAGGACTTGGACAGGTCACCTTTCCTCACTGGGCTTCAGTTTCTTTATATCTAAGGAGGATATAAACCCCACCTGATAGAACTATGAAAGGTGAGATAGTAAGAACTGATGCTGGCCAGGCGTGGTGGCTCATGTCTGTAATCCCAGCACTTTGGCAGGCCAAGGCGGTGGACCACGAGGTCAGGAGTTTGAGACCAGCCTAACCAACATGGTGAAACCCCGTCTCTACTAAAAATACAAAAATTAGCGAGGCATGGTGGTGCATGCTTGTAATCCCAGCTACTCAGGTGGCTAAGGCAGGAGAATCACTTGAACCCAGAGGTTGCAGTGAGCCAAGATCACACCACTGCACACTCCAGCCTGGGCGACAGAGTGAGACTCTGTGTCAAAAAAAAAAAAAAAAAAAAGAACTGATGCTTATTAATCCTCTACTATGGGCTGACCACTATATAGGACACTTGACCAGGTTATCTTCACTTTCCTGTTCATGACTGAAGAATTCCTAGAAACAGGTTAAGTGCAAATTCCTGGGCCCCACCCCTGGTGCTTGGATCCAGAATGTCTGGAATGTGGCCCACTGGGCAGGAGGAGTTTTTGTCTCCTATGGACTGGATCCACCTTTCTAAAAACAAAGATAAGCACCCTTGGCCCCTTAACAAATGGGCTGCTTCTTACAAATCCCTTTCCTACAGTCTGTCCCTAAATTCTCATCACAACCCTTTCCACATGATGAGGCCACTGAAACTCAGAGAGGGAGAGTTATTTGCCCTGAGGTACAGACCCAGGAGGACCAGGTGGGGGGTACCTGTGGCTACCACTGTGTCCCTTTAAGAGGAAGGCTCATCCCTGGCAACCGGTGCTCAGATGGGGACCAGGGGAGGCCTTGGGGAGAGAAGAGCAGGACTGGTGCGAGGGAAGACTGGCCAGAAGGGTGACTTGAAGGGACCCAGAGGAAGCCAGGACTGAAAGTGGAGGGCCTGAGACCTGAGCCTGGCAAGAGTCTGCTATGAAGGTAAGACCCTGGGCTCTTCTGGGCCAGATGTATGGCTGAAGTTTGGAGGTTAGTGACTTTCATGTTTGGTTTGGGTGTTTCACTTACTTTTCCCAACACATCTCTGAAGAGAGTACCCTTATACTCAATTTCCAGAGGTAGGTACTGACATCAGAGAGGTGCAGTGGCTTCCCTAGGGTCACACAGCACAGTCAAGATTCCTCCTCAGTCCCGTCTTGCCAAAACCCAGGCTTTTCCCTGGCTCCTGGCTATTGGTAGGAAGCCATGTGTCAACATGTCCAAGTACCGGAGCTGTGAATGCTCTTTTTCTGTACCTGGTATGTGACTTGTTGTATTTGGGTGCTCCAGGCCCAAGGGGCAGCCTCTGTGTAGTGGGGTTTACAGGCTGGCTGACAATTCCTGCAGCTCTCCTCCCACTAGTGACTTTGGGCAGGTCCGTCCCACTCCCTGAGGTTGTCGTTCATTTACAAATGGGGTCAACACCCTCCTAAGGCTGTGTAGTTAAGAAGCCTAGGGGCAGCAGGGGAGGTGTGCTGTGTGCTGAGGTTGGGGGAGACTGTGGATTTTGTTTGTTTGTTTTAGATCTGTTGCCCAGACTGCAGTGCAGTGGCAGCATCTCTCACGATCTCCGCTCAATCCAACCTCTGCCTCCCGGGTTCAAGCGATTCTCCTGCTCCCGAGTAGCTCGGGTTACATACCACCACACCCAGCTGATTTTTGTATTTTTAGTAGAGATGGGGTTTCACCATGTTGACCAGGCTGGTTTTGAACTCTTCATCTCAGGTGATCCGCCTGCCTCGGCCTCCCAAAGTGCTGGGATTACAGGCGTGAGCCACCTCGCCTAGCCGTTTTTTTTTTTTTTTAACTTTCACAATGCCTGCAGTGCTTACATTGTCTTCACAATAAACAAGTCCATAGAATCTAAACAAGCTGAAGGGCGCATACTCAGATGGCTTTCTGGGAGGTAGAGGCTGTTGCTGGGTTGGCTCAGGCCCTCTGGGGCTCTCTCAGCCAAAGTCAATGGGGACAGATACGGCCCAGGCCACAGCACTGTTCCACCTGGGGGTGGGGAACAGGAGCTGCAGCCTGGCAGCTGGGGTCAGTGGTCTCTGCAGGTCAGAGCTCAGCCCAGGACTGTAAGAACTTGGGCAAGTCTCTCTTCTGACCTTGAAAGCCAGGGGTGGAGAGCGGAGTCACACTGGGAGGGACTCAGAAAGGATCCAACACATAATTTGCATTCTCCAGATGAAGAAACTGAGGCCCAGAGAGGGGAAGGCCTTTGTTATGGTCTCAAAGTCTGGGGCTCACCCCATGACAGGCCCTGCCCTGGGAGGTACTGGGCTGGCTGGTGGGAGGGTGCTGGAGGCACCCATGGGAGCAAGAAGTCAGCTCTGGGAGGGGACAGGTCAGAGGACATGCTGGCATTGGACTTTAGCACTGAACAGGGGTGGGGAAAGGAGATCCAGGTGGAGTAAAGGGTCAACCAAGGCCTGGAGGT